CCTGGAGGAGCCACGTGGAGGTCCCTTCCAGCGCTGAGATGCTTACAACATCACTGGATCCACAAGATTTCCCACCTACTGGCTGTGATCTTCCTGCACTTGGCATCATTGCATGTGTTTCGTGAGTCTGAAGAGGACTTTATAGATTGGCATCAGACATATGGGCTAAGATTAGACTTACGTACTTGATCTGGACTGGGCTGGGTTGTTTTCTTAATATTCAACTGCTCTTATATATAAAGCTCTTTCCTATACACATGAGTGTGTCTATGAATTTGTTTCTCTAGTCTACCTGGACTAACACTGTTTTTCTCCCACTGCTCTTATCCATGCTGAAGCTCTCTTAGTGGCCGAGGTCGACAGGAGATGCTGACTGGTGACAAGACTGCACCAAACCCCCTTGAAGAAAGCTGGACCAGACCTAAGCCCCTGGGGAATTAAAATAGGATTAAAAAGTTGATAACTGGAAGTTCATTTTTATGAAAAATGAGTAAAACACTCTCTTTTAGCTTTGCGATGCCTTCTTTCATAGCTGGGACCACTTTTGTGCTCTTTTCTAATTTCTGGTCACCTGTGTATGATTGACTCCCCTGGGCGGTGGGTCAGGAGTAAGCTGTCTAGTTCCAGTTTTCACCTATTGCCAGCGAGATGATTCTGACTCAGAGGGGCTCCAAGTGTGGCACAAAGCGGTGCTCCACAGGGTTTCAATGGCTCTTGTTCCAGAAGTATATCACCAGACTTTTCTCCCAAAGTACCTCTGGGTGGACTTTGAACCTCTAACCTTTCCATTAGCAGCTGTATGTACAAACTAGCTGTACAATTCAAGTATTCCAATCCCAGCTTTCAGACTATTCTAGGAATGCTAGGTGCATCTGATACCCCAGGGTGAATTCACTCAAACTCACTGCCATCGAGTCAATGGGAGTCATAGTGACGCTGTAGGACAGGATAGAACTGGCCCTGTGAGTTTCCGAGACTATAACTGTTTACAGGAGTAGAAAGCCCCGTCTTTCTCCCTTAGAGTAGCTGGTGGCTTCAATCTGCGGACCTTGTGGTTAACAGCCCAATGTGTAACCACGATGCCAGGGTAAAGCACTGCGACATTCCAGAAGGCATCTGTGCAGATGCCTACCACTCCTCACCCAGAGCTAGATGTCAGCCCATTTTGTGACCTTGCTGTGTCCTCAGCAGGGTTAGGTCATCGTGCTTAGGGCACAGACCATGGCTTACGCTTTGGCAGGCATCAGCTCTTAGCCCAAGGCCTGGCAGCAGCTGTTCCTCCAGAGCTGCAGGCGCTGGAGCCCAGGACTCAGGTCTGAAGGAGGCACCATGACTCTCTGGGAAGGGGCTGTTTAAGCATCACTTTCCATGTTAGTGAAAAGGGATGACATATCCATGGAAGGACACTCCGTCCAAGCCTGGTACACAAATACATGCTCCATTGGATGGGCAATTGTTTGTCTTCTACTTTAGATGGGATAAAGATTTGCCAAAAGACTGAATGAGAGGTAATTGAAAAGCAGAGATACGAGAGGATGGACGAGGAGCTGGCAGGGGTTCCACTGAGGGAGAGAACAGAAGCCAGTCGACTTCTCTGTTGCCCCACGTGTCACCTCCTCTCCATGTTGTCCATCCTCGACCCAGAGACTCCCCATCTGAGAGCCCCATCACCCCCACACCCCCCACACTCCTGGGGCCTTTGGAGGACCAGCTTCCTCTACTCTGTCTTCATCTGCAAACATATACACACGGCCAAGTGTCATGCAATTTTAAAAAGTCCAAGCCTGAGAACATTCTGTTTGTAAACTGGCTGGTGAGATGCGAACATACAATCAAACATCTTATAAACCACTTTGTGAGAAACATCCTACACACGGTTATACATTAAAGCTCAAAATACACTTTACCCCACAAGACATGGAAAGCGGCAGAAATGAATTCCCGTAGAGCAGCGGGCTCTGGATCGGACCCTCCAGCAGGGGTCTGATCCAGGGGCCTCTGCCAGGATCTTGGATAAATGGGAAGTGGGCCAGAGATTGGGAAAGGAGCCAGCACCCACTGGGAATCTGTTCTTCATGTAAGACCAGGGTCAACAGCACTCTCACTTTCTGCTAAAGTTTCAGAGAAAACGTTCTAAGCACCCATTTGGTACCAGGTAACCTCTTCTATTTCTTACTGGAGAGAATGGACGTATTCAGAAAGAGGGCTTAGAAATACTTTTGCAGATGAGAGACACAAGAGAGCCATGGAAGGCACAGGATTCAATAATGAACTCATAGCAATGTTCCTAATGAAAAGGTACTTGAGGAATCAACTCTCCCAAGCACGTTGACCCAGGGCTTTAGCCATGGACCTTTAACCAGCACAGAGGGTGGGGACACTTCCTAGTTATCTACATTGCTACCTTCCTTTCCATTTGTGCCCTGTTCACATAAGACTATAGCTTCCCTCAGCCCAGACTTTGATGAGCTTACTCGGTGTACGAGGATGGTACTAGAAGCAACTGATGTCATGGTGACTCTGAGCCATTCACCTGGGAGGCAGATGATGCCAGGGACTCTGTTGCCATGGCTTCACAGGTGAGCCTTTGCCTTCCTGAGACACTCATGTCCCACTCCCCCAGTGCATGCAGTCGAGGGGCTGGGAGAGGAGCAGGCTGACTCTCAGCACGGAAGCAAAGCCCAGCACAAATTGGTGTGATTCACTACTGCATACACTCTGGCCACCTTTCACAGAGCCCGAGCAGCCCCTTCAGCCTCGGACAAGATGCCGTGGTGCTACAGTTACTGTGTGATATTGGAGGTCAGGAGAGAGGTGGGTTTCTTTCTGTAAAGGCTCTGGAGTAGGGAAATAGGAGACGAAAGCATTAAAGAAACCAGGGCTCAAATGCACAGCCCTCCCAATGGGCGGGGGAGCCTCATACACATGGTCAGCGCACACCTGTGGCCTCGGCCCTGGCTGAGTTTGCAACACAGTTCCCTCGCGAGCTGTTTCACCACCCCCATGCTGGTCCATCTCCACCTGTCAACTGGGGATGAGAGCAGCACACATGACCCCAAGGGTCCCTGTGGGATTAGAGGAACCAGTCACCCGACACTCACTGCCCCTAGACTCAGCCTGTCAGTGAGATGCTTTCTTTGTACGCTTGACACCCTGTCAGACAGTGGGCACAGTGGTGTGGACAAGGTGAGGTGCTAAGCGGGCACCCATGGCTTCTTTCCTCCATTCCTGCATCTAGGCGCCATCAAATTGTCATCACCCCAATCTCCAGGAACTGTGGGGAGATACTTTGTGCCCTTAGATACAGACTACGGAGTTGCAACCACTCTCTTAGTCAGTCACTCACGAGTAACAGAGGGAGTGTCAACTACCACTCTCCCTTCGGGCACACAAGCGGCCCAGGCGCCCTCCTTCCACCGCTCTCCCACGTGCCTGCCGCGGAGTTGGGGCTAACAGCAGAGCCAGGCTGTGCCCAGGGGCTCAAGACCTGTCCCTTCACCTCTTGCACAATGACAGCCCCAATTCATCTGTGGCGGCCAGGTCTGACCTTATCCACCAATAAGCTAGGCGTTTTTGGACCGGACACAAAGATTCTCCTCTTTGACCCACTTGAATTTTGAAATAGGAAATGAGTGGAATGTTCGGCTGACCACAGTTCGTCATTTGTCACAAGTGAGGGTCTTTGGTGAGCAGAGGGGAGGGGCCTGTGCAAGTGCAAAGTGGAGCCTGGGAAAGAAGACGGCAACTACCCACCCATTCACTCCGGTTCAATCGTCCTACACATTTACCTTACCTGGTTCCAAACAGGAAGAGGCTCCAAAGAGTCCACAGAAACGTCCACTATCTTTTCATCCCATTTTCCCATCAACGTCTTGAACTCCCCCCGCCACCCCCCCAACCCCGCCACACACACCTTCTACAAACACAAACATGGGACCACACCCTAAATTGTGTGACACAATTTCACTCCATTGGGGGAGAGTTCAGAGATTTTCACTGGAGAAGCTGCTGTTGTTGGTTTGCTTTGCTGGAGGCTTGGAGCCTGTTAGTCAATCTCTCTATCAAGGGCCTTTGTCATGGTGGCAGGACGCAGAGGGCTGCCTGAGTCCCGCCGGCCTTCTGCTGTGCTGGTGGTCCTCTCATGAGAAACACCCAGCGTCCTTTCCTGGTCGCTAGTAAAGCCAAGTGTCCACCAGCAGCTGCCTAGCTTATAAAGCTGCAGCCAGATACAGTTTATCTGGTGCATGAAAGACGGCAAACACAAACAGAAATGCATTCATTCGGGTTACATCTCCCTACGAATTTGCCTCACCTGATTCCAAAACTGAAGAGACTTCCAAGTCTACAGAAAAATTCCATTATCTTCTCATTCCACTCATCCACCAACTTTCAGAAGCAATCTTTCGCAATTCCTAAAATCACTATAAATCACACCTATGAGGCCTAACTCTTTGAAGGTTTTCCTGCCTTCCTACGCGGTCCCTTGTTCTCCTTCTATAAAGAGGAGGGAAATGGTCTTCAGCAGTAAGACTCAGTCTCTCGTGGAGACTGAGGCCCAGCTTCCCCAGAGTCCCAGCTGCGCTGCTGTCTTTTCTAATCATTTATCAGCACACTGGCCATCTCCACTTAAAGCTCCTTGCACTACCATTTCTCTCTAAATATTTCATAACTCAGTGTTACCCACACCACCTTCCCTAGAGCTCCTTGTCATGTCTAACTCAGGGCACACAAAGCCAGTTAAAGACACAAGAAAAATCACCACACTGGAAGACAGGCACAGTATGGTCTCCAAATGGCACAGGCACCTTAAATACAAGTATAGGCATAGAACTGCATTGTAAATATATATTCTACCAGTCAAAACGTAATTGCATTTCTCTTTTGAACTGCTCAGTTTAAGAACAGTTAGGATCATTTACACTAGGTTATATAACAAGAAATCAAGTCCATATTTTTGTCACTGACCGTTTAAACCAATTCACAGTAATAAAGAACCAACATCTAAATAGACTTTTATTTTTATTTTACTTTTTTGGACAGAAAAGAAAATTTATCACCTCTCATTAGAATCCTCCTAAGTGTTGGAAACACATTAAACTCAGAAATAGTGGACCTTGTAGAAAAAGCATCACAAATTAAAAATATATTTCTCCATGTGATAAAAGTGCTTTCAATCCAATTAAAGGACACGGCAAAGGTGTTCTGAAACACAATTTAAAATTTGGCCTATGATCCGTGGCATTGAATAAAACCAAAGGGCAAGGGTCAAGATCATCAACCTGGAATACAGAAATGATACAGTGTTTAGGAGCATGCTGCCAGCAACAATTAACTGAGTCAGAACAAGGAAAAGTCCCAAAGCCTGAGTAGAATAGGTTTCGCATCTGTAAAAACGAGATGGTTATGTAAAGTTGGGTTGAAAGGGGTCTGTGAAATGTCATAAATCCTCGTTTCTTGCCAGGGGCGGGGGTAGGGAAATCATCAGGGCAGACCACAGGGGCCCTGAGGTTCCCATGGAGACCTATGTGCCTTGGTTCAGAAAGAGTCCCTGATCTTTTGGAAAAGGAACAGGTGCCCTTAGTCCCAGCTGCTTCTCATGTGGTCCTTTCAATAGCATGGGGAGCAAACCCCTCTGGCTCCAAGTCAGATTACATCTAAGCAAAGCCAAGCCAGGCTTTGCCAATGCCAACCATTCCCTTCTGAAGGGCAGCTTGGAGAAGGGTAACGGTGCCAGGGTTACTACACAGGAAAGGTGGAAACTAATGGTTTCATGCTGTTGTTCAAAACAAGCGACCCTGCTAATGATAACCTCTGTGACAAAACTCAAGGTCCGCAAGACTGCCTGTGGTTCTTGGGGAAAGTGCCACCGTAACTCCCTAGAAGTGACACCCTCTCCCGACCTGGTACAGTCACAGAGTGGTGATTACGTTAAGTCGCCAGGGCCGTGGGGATGGAAGGGAATGAGGGAGTGGAAAAGTAGGGGGAGAGGGTTTCTTTGACATTAGATCTTAAGCAACAGTAAGAAAATAACCTGAAGATATATTTAAAAATAAGAAAAAATAGCATCACACTTCACTGCAAGTGATGTTGGCATCTTCCTTTTCCCCCATCACACCAGCCAGGCTGGCTCAGAGGTGAGCAGGGATGCCGGACTGCTTAATTAGAACAGGTGACTGCTACCCAGTCCGTCACTTCCTTTCAATGGCACCAAATTCGCTCTTCTTCTCAGAGACTTGGTTTAAGCTGCTGGCCTGCAAGTAGATGTGAGAAGCCCTCTGCTCTCTTATTTATGCCCCTGAACAATTCTAAGCGTGAAGGTCAAGTCTCTGCTGCTTCTGTTACCTCCTTGACACTTCATGAAATAGAACCAAGCTCCTTACATCTTTTCACAGCAGACACTTTCTATAAGAGCACGCCACAGCTCAGCCCAACCCTGGAGCTCTTACTAGTGCGACTCCCCTGTTCCCAAGCCACCTCTGCTACGAGACGATGCTCCCCGCAGCCTGCATGGGGTTGTTTGGTCTCGTGCCCTGCTGAAGAGACAACGGACATAGCAATGACTAGCGTTGGCATTCATGGAGGGCGCTGACAGTGGGGGGGAGGGGGCACTTCACAGAGGAGGTGATCTTCTTTGAGTGGAAACCAGGAAGAACAGCCACTCCTTCGGGCAGTCTCTGCTCCGCCTGTAACGGCCTCTCGGCTCTTCTCTAGGTCTCTGCTTGGGCATGTCCGCATGCCAGGCTCTCTCCCTCCTTTCGTCTTCCCTCAGCGTGGTCCCTCACCCGAGCCCTGGCTGGGCCCGGGCATCAGTGGGATGGTGAGGTGTCCTCTATGCCCAGCAGCTCTCTGACCAGTCTCTCCCCAAACTGGGCCCGGCTGTACCTCTTCACATGGTAGGCGTCAGACATTTTGTATAGGATGTAGGCGTTGTTGATGGCGATGCTGATGGCAAACCAGAACACCTGCTGCCAGGTCTTGTTTGGTTTATGGGAAATGAAATACCTACAAGGACAAGGAGAATGAGACAGGTAGACACAGGTGATTCATGGGTAACTGGGAGACTTCACCATGGCCAGCAAGGTGCTATGGAATCACTCTAGACATGAGGGAGGCTCAGGGGTCAATGAACTGGCTTTGTCCCAATGAGTTAGGTACAGAAAGTGAAAACATTTCCTATAAAAATTAAGGTAGAATGGGGCAGGCTGCTGTAGTCAGGTTTCAGGCCATGGGATCACTTGTCACAGCCCCAGAATCAGCATGCCTCTCCCTTCTCAAAGGCTGTATTTTATTTTTGGCAAAGGGCTCCTGTCTCCCAAAGGCCATGTTCTACCTCTGCTCCAGGCTCCTGAGATGATGCACCCATCTTCATTGCTCCTACCTCCCTATTTCCGCTTCTATGGAACCTTCCCTGGCCCAGGAAAAGTAGGTGACCCTCAAAGAGGCCTAATCAGTTGTCCAATTGCCTAAGCTGGGTTCTAAGCTGTGAGTCCCAATCCTAGTGACTTGTAGTCATAGAAATAGTGGGTGGCACTCATTTCTGAGCTCCTGTCCTGGGGATCATGGTATTCGGCTAGGTAATAGCACTACGGATACCTGTATGTACATATGGTATGCATGCTGGCTGAGTCGTGTATGTGTGTGTGCGCGCGCGCGTGTGTTGCACGTAGATACTGTCCACTGCTGTTGAGTCCATTTTGACTCAGTGAGCATGAGCAGACAGCCTTGTCTTTCTTCTGGAGCATCTGGGGGGTTTGAACCACCAACCTTCTGGTTAGCAGCCCAACACTATCCCACAGCCTCACCGGAGTTCTTTACACTGATGAGAGATCATCTTACCCGTATTCAAAAAGCTGAAGTAATCAGTGTTAGAAAATGAAGGACGCAATGTAGAAATATATGAGGCAGGTGCTAAGTGGATAAGGCAGAGAGAGGGCTGGGCTAGCGGATCTGGAAGGCTTCCCCTAGCTGACCTGTTTGGGATACCTGAGAGGGAAGAGCGTTTCTGGGCAGGAGAGTAAGGAATCAAGGACCCAGGACAGAGGCCTCAAAGGTGAGGCAGAGTCAGGACAGCCAGGACGAGCTATCAGATCTGCGTCTCCCAGGGCTTGGATCACCTACCAGGCCATCTGTCCTGCGAGGGTGACACAAAGAGGCCTTTGCAGACTAGAGCTGCCGTGCTCACTTACTTGCTGTATTTGTCATCGTATTTGCAGATGTAGCTCAAGTGTGCAGCAAATGCCTCCACAGCCAAGGGGCAGGGGATCTCACCACTCTTCCTCTTGATGATCACCCCTGCAGAGGAGAGAACATACAGCTCTCTGTGGCTCCTTCCAAAGGCCAGTGCCCTGGCTGCCCCAACCACTTAAAATAGTCAGTAGAGGGAGAAGAGGAGGGGAGGCGGAGATGAAGAACCCCAAGACCCAGGGACTTTTGAAATGAAATGCTTCCAAAGAGTTGAGGCAAGTATTCATGATGGAGCTGTGCAAAGGACTAGCTGGCAGAGACTTGGGTTACCTGAGTTCTCTCACACTAAGACACATGTGGCAAAGGCAAGCCTACTGGTAGCACTGCCTTCCTGGGTCTTGAGAAAGCAAAAGAGAGAAACCTCCGCCCCACAAGCTCCAGTTTTCTGTGGGGAGCTGGCAAGGGAAGGAGGAGGTGGAAGAGTTCAGGGAGCATGGTGCAGTCCTCTGTGTCAGAGCAGAGGGTGGATGGGAAGCTCAGCTGACCAAGAGGCTGCTCCCCACAGCTTCCCTCCTGCTGGCCAGGTCCCTGCTGTCCTGTCAAGCCTCACAGGACCTCTGCGAGCTTCACACTCACGACTAACGGTCTTTTCCCGACTCAATACAAATGGGAATGCATCCCAGAGGCACCACTAACGAGATGAAGCAATCCCATCAACAGGGTTTGAGAAGCAGAGGGAGATCAATTATCCTCACCTCCCTTCTGCTCAAGCAGGAGAAACCTCTCTCCAAGATGCACCCCTGGTAGCTGGCTCCAGAGATAATGCAGAAAGCCGAAGAAGGGTTTTACCCTTATTTAATACAGCTTCAGCTTCAGGATCAACCGGCCTTCAAGTTATCCCTCCTTCACAGCATGCAGTGATTGTCAAGCAGCGTCTTTTTATTTTAAAGTGAAAAACTTCTATCATTTGTCTCTTTCCCTACTTAATGCAATTCTACATCACTGAGAAGCAAAGACTAGAGAGGGCTCTGCATGACTTCTTTGAAGAGGTTTGTTCACAAGGTTGTGACATTTTAACAATACTTACATGGACGTACCCAAAGTACATGTTTCCTGCAAGTCCCCAGAAAACTTCCTGGAGTTCTACCCTTCCCCAATGTCCCCTCGTCCCAGGATTTACACTTGTATAGCTTTTTATATTTTTTTTCTTTCTTTCTTTTTGGTTATTTTCCCTAGAAAATCGTGGATTTTCATGTTGAAGAAAGACCTGGAAAGCTTGGGAGGACTTCCATACCAGGGCCACACCCAGAGCGCTGGTTCTAACAGGCCTGAGGCAAGTCCAGTTCTGGCTCTCTGAGACGCTCCAAGCATCAGAGGACGAGGGGCTGCGTCCCAGCCTGACGGTCCAGGCACAGAGGGCCTGTGTGGCCAACCACCCTTGTTATTGAACCACACAAGAAACAGTCGCGGCTCCCTCATGCCAGCTCCTCAGTCGGTTAAGGGGCTCGTGCTGACATAAAAAGCCACACCATGAAACGACCAGAGGCACAGTGACCTTTCTCTGAAAGTGGGCCAGAGGAAGGGTTTTTACAGCCCACAGCAAAGAGAATAATCAACAGATATACCTATGCAGAATTTTTTTAATTGTTAAAAATACTAGCCATAATAAAAACAAAAGGTGCAGAAATAAATTGCAAATATACTTGGTTATAGTTGGCTAATTTCCAGTGGTAAGACATAGACCCTAACTTGCTAGGGGGGAAATATTTTACTTGTTTTCAAGTTAATGATAGAAAGACAAACACTTCAAAACCAAAATTAGGAGAGAACTTCTAAAAGCATTCAAAAATTAGCCAATAACCGTATTGAACGTCAGCAATACATTGACAGATTTACCAAAAACAAAATGATAATCACCTTGGTAAAACCAGATCAAGGATTCCTTTTTGATCTTGTTATCATTGAAATGATAACTAAATAAGCAAACAAACAAACAGAACAGTAGATACAAAACAAAACAATAAAACAAACTCATTGACATTCAGTTGGCAACCCCTCTATGCTCTATAGGAGGTTCTCAGCTGAAGTTCTTGTGGAAGTGGATCACTAGGTAGGGCTACACAGCCAACCTGTAAGTCAATCGTTGAGTTCAAACCATCTGTGCCACCGAAGAGCCTAAACAATGCTCATACTCCCTGACCCAGAAATTCCACTGTTAGATATTTATTTTGATAAAATGATCAAAGATTTACCAGATCAAACAGTTATGCATGAAACTGTTTACTACATCATTATTTATAATAGTGAAGAAACAGATCATCAATATGGGGAGTAGGGAAAGAAAATTTGGCACATCTAAATGAGTGGAATACTTAGGTCGGTTTAAAAAACAATACCACCTAAAAAACCCCATATTTTTGAAGGAGACTAAAAGAAAAACTATATCCTTTCATTTAAAGATAAAATGCTAAAATTTGGACCTAGAGAAAGTGTGACCAGTGGGGAGGAGTAGCTGATCCCCAGCCTCAATGCTCCACTCCGCCTTTAGCTCTCAACTCCCCAAGGAGAGCAGCCCCAGGGAGAGCCTTGTTGTCACAGACACTGGGCGTGGGCCCTGGGTTCACCTTCGAGTGTTCTCAGTGAGTGTGGGCCTGGAGCAAGGGATGCCCATAGCTTCCTTCCTGCTAGGGAGTGCATTCTAAAGCCCAGCTCAAGGAAGGGGCGCTGGGATGGACACAAAGGAAACACATGGTCCTTGTAAAATATGCTGCACAGACATGCAATGCGGTTTCCTAATTCTTGGGGTCTTCAAAGGAGTCTCTAGGATTGGAGATTTTAAGACTCACAATCGACACGAGTACTTTGGAAATGAAAAGTGCAACCATATTAAAAACAATGGACACCAAACTTCAGCACGAAGAGCTCTGGTGATGCAGTAATTAAGTGCTCAACAGCTGACTTTTCGCTGAGCCTTAGACCTACCAAGGGGGAAAAGTTGTATTAGTCTGCTTCCATAAAGATTTTCAGCACATTTAAAAGTAGAATTTTGGAAATGAAAACTATAACCATATTAAGAACAAATGAGCTCCAGATTTCTGCATATTTTACTAAATTTCAGATAGCCTTATTTTTTCCTTGATTTAAGGGTTGGGGTGACCTTTTAAGATTTGCATACTGAATCATAAACTCACTCTTGGCAACCTCCCTGGTGCCTCTTTTTATTTTTTCTTTCTCCTGGACGGATGCTCTGTACTGCTTACAGACTCGTCTCAGAGCCCCTCACAAAAATACAAATGTGGTGGGGAGCAACTCTTGCCCTCAATTCTCACATATCGTTCCTCAGAGATGCCCTTGAGCTTCACCTGGGCCCTAGCCTCTGGAACTGAATGTCCAATTCCAGCCCCTCCTTCAGCAGCAAAGGGCCAGTGTCACACCGGCCCTTGCCTTGTCCTTAACCTCCAGTTTGAGTGAGCCTGTCCGTACACCTCTGGACCTCAGTGGAGCAGGGACCCTCAAAAAAGCTTGAGTTTTTCATTGCAATCTCCACGGAAATGTAATTTTAGTCTTAATGCAACTTGGCAGCAGGGAATAAATGAACAGTATACATTAAACGTATTGGACACGTGTGTGTGCCCACAAACACACCGCTGAGTTCCTTGACTGCCGTCTTTCAAAAGTGAAAAAGAAACATATCTTAATGTGAAAGCATATAAAGGGAGCTTTTTCCTGGAGCTGAGCAGGTTATGAAGGGGTTATTCAATCTCACTATACAACTATAAATCGTTTTGTACAATGCCCTTCTGCCATTCCCATTTCCTTTCCGAAATTATTTTTGCTGTAGGACACTTTACATACAGTCGTGCCCATGATAAGTTCAGATTCAGATTCAGATGTTGTGTGAACCTCACATCATCATGAAACCAAAAGCAAACTCACAGCCAATGAGCTGATGCCGACTGGCAGTGGCTCTGTAGGACAGGGTAAAATTGCCCCTGTGAGATCTCCCTCGAACTCTTATAGGGAAAAACCCGTCTTTCCCCCACGGAGGAGCTGGTGGCTTCAAACATCTGACCTTGTGGTTAGTCACACAGTGTGTCGTCACTATGACACAGGTCCTGCTTTTTCTTGAAGCATTTTGAACAAGCTTTGTGCCTTAGCAGTGATCATGAATGTGCTGAGAGGGAGTCGCTTTTGTGTTTGGTCTTCAAGTCATGTTAGTAGCAATTTCTCTACATGTGAGGCTCCTCCCACATTTCCGATAGCCATATAGTTTTCAGTGGCGCTGAAAGCTTGGATAATTTTTGGTTCATGAAGATCATTCTGATTGGTAAGTCGGACATGACCAAACAATGAGTAGCACCATTCCTGACTTTCTACCTTCCTATTGTTTGTTAACCTTTGCTTCCCTTTCAGACGGAGACTTCTCTTCAGCCTCTGGCTCTTTCCACCACCAGCATGGAGCTGCTGCATTTGGGAGTCATGAGATACTTTGTGGTAGTATTTTTGAAGGAAAATTAAAAGAGATCACACTACAACACGCAATAGACACATTACCCACAAGATTGGATGCTGCCGCCTATGAGCTGAAGCATGCACTGGTAAGGGATACTTAGCACAGTACACACACAAGTAACATAAGCACTTTTCTGATAATCAAGACATATGCATTATAGATTATATGAGTTTATGTACTGTACCACTATATATCTGGTAGTGCAATCACTTTGTATAGAAGAGGCCCGAGGCACACAAGTTGCACGTGGGAAACTATTGTCTTTGCTTTGTTCCATTCTCTGATGAGGGTTTTTGAACTCCATTGACAATTTATGGGACAATGAACATTTATGTGTTTGGGCAATGCCTGAGCAGACATGGTGTGGCACATGATTATAGGAGCAATTCTCTTTCTGAATAAATCCATGTGTTATTAATGGATGTTAGATTGCCGGAGACTGGGGGTACCAGTGAAGAAATGAAACGAGCACTCAGAAAGGCAAATTTTTAAGGAAGACACTGAAAACTAAGGGCAGCGGGCCGTTTCCCACCACTCCCCCCCAAGACAGATTTCTCACAGAATCCCACGTGGGAAAGTGATTACGTAAACGGCATCAAACGTAGCCAATTGTTACACTTCATGTACAACAGGAAGACTTGAAGGCATGTGCACATGCCATCATCATAGCTCCTTGATGGCCGACAAGCAAGAGAAAGCTCACTGCTTGCTCCGGAAGCACGTTGCCACCCCTCTGCCCTCTGGTTAGAGGGGCAGCAAGTCCCAGCACAACCTCAGAGGCTGGTGAACGACAGGACTAACCTAGCAACAGTCCTGCCCAGCTGAGCAAGGATTCACATTTGTTGCATGCCTACCCAGTCCCCCTCTGACATGCTCACCAGACCCCCACCCCACCCCCACTCCGCGCCAGTACCTTGCTGGACTGGGGAGTAGGCATTGGTCAGGAAGCGGAAGTGCCCTTTGTTGTACCAGCAGATCAGAGACATGTTCCCCTTCATCTTGATTCGGTACTGTCCCCGGGTCTGGGGCGTGGCTGGGTTCGCCAGCATGGACATAGGCAGGCCTGTGCAGTCGCTTTTCCTGGGGCTGAGCAGACCACAGCAGTAAATCTCTGGTGGGAGAGAAAAATAGAGTCCCAAACACACCTGCCTCAGAGGCAGCAGCTTCTTCCTCGTCCCCTCAGGGAACTCCCTGGTCTGAAGAACCCTTTCGAAGTCCCTCTAGAAGAGATACGAAAAGTTTAAAGATCTTCATGCTTTTGCTTTCTCTGCCAGGTGCTTCCTTCTGTAAGAACACACCCTTACGCTTACACGCCGGACTCTAGGGAATCAGGACCAACAGAAACTGCCCTCTGCGCTCATCTCGTCTCCTTCCCCCAAGTTCCCTCACCAGGGGGTGACTGTCTCCTGTCCTTGAAGAGGAACCCAGGCTCACCCCGCTGGGAGGAGAGGTAGACTATGAAGCTCAGGTCAGTGTGTCTCTGAAACCAGTAGCAGGGCGATGCAGAGCTGTGTTTTGTGGCACATAGAGTTGCTATTAGTTGGTGTTGACTGGATGGCACAGAGTAATAACAGCGGGCACCGTGGTGGCACCTTTGGGTAGGTACTGGGCCCATAACCATAAGGTAGGCATTTCAAAACCACTAGCTGGTCTGGGAGAGAAAGACAAGCCCGTCTGTCTAGATGTACAGTCTTGGAAACCCCTTTACGGGGTCACTATGAATTAGAATTGACTTGGTGACCGCTGGTTTAGATTTGGTTTTGAACAACGTTACCCAGACTTTACTGACCCTGAGCTTGCGGAAGAGTGTGGGGCAGGGATCCTCATTTTTTTAGGGAAGAAGGAAAGAATCACCAATTACGGACAGAGTGGAGTCTTGCCTGTGACTATGCAGTGAATGTGTGTGTTGGTGGCGGGGGCAGGGTGGAGAAGGCTTCCTAGAATAGGACCCAGAAGGGAGCATCCAGCCTAAAAGTTCAATGGTTGTGTGGGGCTTGTATGTTGAGTGTAGCGTGAAGAATAAAAAAAGAATGTGGGTTTTTTTCCCCTGTAAATCTAAAAGTTTAAAGTTAATTTTTTAAAAATCCACTAAGGCCTCTTTAAATACCTTCTTTACGAACCCTTTCCCCCACCCCCTGCAGACTGCAAGCATGCCACAGGAGCAATGCCTCCGAGAAGATCCCTGGAGGATCAGTGTGCCAACACGTCTGAGACCCTGGGAAGCAGCCTCCTCCGCTATCCTCTCCCAGCTCCCAGAGAGCTGGCAGGGCCTCCTCAGTAACTTAGACACCAGTGTGCATTCCATTTGTCTACTTTCCTCATCATCGAATCTCTACACCAAGCTGGAAGAAGCAGCTTGATAAATTCCTTTTCTCTTAAGAATTTCTTTATTCCAGAAGACCCTGGATATCCATCCTCAGAAGCTAGGGAGCAGGAGGGCAGACTCCTTGGAAAACCAGAGGGCCTCCCATTGTGCACACGACAGGGGTTCTGATGGCACCTCCATTTCGAGAACAATCAGATTGGATTACCCAGTGAGATAGTTAAGGTTTATTGTGTCAACCTGTCTGATAAACACATGTGGGATTAATTGAAGGGCGAAGACATAAATGGCTCAGTAAGCCTCGCCTTTCTAGTTCTTGGGGCTCTTGCTCTCTGATGGTCAGACTAAGGTGCAGCTGCCTTAGCCAGTTCCTGCTTCAGCTGGCAAGGCTCACTTCCTACCTGTGAGACATACTGAGAAGCCACATGGACCTACCCTGATGCAGCCCTGGGTGCTGGAGCAGCCGTGTGGAGACCCCTGCCGGCACTGAGATGCTTACAAGCTCACAATCAGATTTGGCTTTCCTCCTGCAGTCGGCATCATTGTATGTGCTTTGTGAATTTGAGGAGGGCTTTGTAGATCGGTGTTGGACATATGGGCTAAATCGGACTTATGGGCTTGAATTGGACTGGGTTGGGATGCTTTCTTAATGTACAATTACCCTTTATATAAAACTCTCTCTTATACATATGAGTTTCTGTGGATTTGTTTCCCTAGTTTACCCAGACTAACATACCCACTAAGTACACAAGTCTTAGATTTAAGAGGAAGAATCTTTTTAAACAGTGGAGGATGACATGTGGGGTTTGGGATAAACAACCAGCTAAAGAGTAGCTGCATTTCCATAAAAGGAAAAGAAGGAAGAAGCCCTGCTTCAGTAATCTGTCCCTTTAGAAAATAGCCATTACTCTAGCAATTCTCTTGAGTGGTCGGAGTGCGCCCAAGGAGGAATGAGACCCTGGACTCTGCTCCCTTTCTTCAATGTTGGCTGCACACTGGAATTCCCTGGGGGCTGGTGTCGGAGGAGACAACTTAAGAGTAGGGAAATGAGAAAGCGAGCGGCCAGGTGCAGGAGTTGGAGAATCATGCTGGAGAATAATTGCCTGAAATGCTAGTCATCTGAGACCAAAAGCACACAAGGGCCCATGTGAAGAGCTCAATAGCTCTAGATCCTGCTAAAAATACTCAGAGGCACAAGATTTTTTTATCTGTTGCGTAACACTGTCTTGGAAAGCTCTAACTTCCATCTCTCACCATTTTCTCCAGTTGGAGAGGCCTGTTCCTAACTCACTGAGCCAAGGAAGCGCCCCTTTCTTCCCAGAATAACAGGGCATTTACCTCAAGTGCTCAGGGAAGCAGCACTCATGGACATCTTAAGAATATGGTCCATGACACTTCTCTGGCAGTCCCTACTCTGTCCTGCCTGTGCCACGCATTCACGGATGGGTGGGTTTGGGGACCACCACCATCGACTCTGATGGATGCCCAAGATGGGTGGGAGACAGCAAGTGTCACAGTAACACACGTTGGTGGTGTTGGGTCACTCTAGCATCTGCAGAAGTTCTTCCTGGTGCTTGTCACCCACACCTGGACCTGGCACTGCAAAGGCAGGGCAGTTGTGGGCTGTGGGGAGGTCATACCTTCTCACAAATGAGGGCCCTCATACTTCTGAAGCAACTGGTCGATATTCATTAGCGTTATCATTTCCTCAATCTCGCACTTCTAGAATCTGTCTTCACAAATTCTGATCACTCCACATTTAATGATTCTAGCTCATAAATACTGAGCATTCACAAGCAAGTCCTTTTGTATATTTGCAAAACACAAATGAGTAAGACAGGGCATAGCCTAGACTGCAGGTGGTGCAACTGTTTGCTCCCCATTACTGAGGGGGACTTAGTTTTAAGGCCAGATTTTTTCCCTTTGCTAAACAATAGTTTGTAATTCTGGGGGTTGCTGTAGGTGAGTAGAGTGGTTGTGTTTTCTTGAGTGGACTCATGACCATCCCTGGGCCCCGTGATGGGGACACAGTGAAGGCCATGCTACGGGTTTCCCTGACTGGCTTACGATCTTCTTTTCTACATTCCAGTTCCTACCAAAGGTAGGAATGGCATTGATCCAACTTTGTACCCAATGAAGGTCCCTAAGTGGTGCAAGTCTCTTGGACTCAATTACTAATCCAAAGGCTCCTGGCTGGAACCCACCCGGTGATATCATAGAAGAAAGGCCCGGTGATGGGCGTCCATGATGGGTACCGTGTCGTTATCAGTTGCTGTCAGGCTGACTCAGTCTCACAGGTAGAGGAGCACTGCTCCATAAGGAGCACTGCTCCATAAGGAGCACTGCTCCATGGCCTTTCTGAAGCAGAGCGCTGGGCAAGAACACCCTATTCTCTAACACCTGGGGTCATTATGAAGTGTAGTTGACTCAACTGCAGTGGATTTCATTTGGTTTTGATTTTGCAATCAATGGACCAACTCTATTGTTCCCTGCTTTAATCTACATGATTCTTTCCAGAAAACAAATGCTCTGTTGCCACTTGTGAAGAGACCCTGTTGGGAATAAGTTCAGGAGACGTCCTGTGAAACTTAGGAGAAGCTGTAGTGAAGGAGAACTCTTTTGATGGTGACAGCCGTACAACAGTGATCACACAGGAAATGTGTCCCTATAGCCAAGGCAGAGCTTTGTGCAAAAATGTTGCTGAGCCAGCAACAGAAAGGGCTCATCTCCTCTGGCCTCTCCCACCCACTGTGGAAAGAACAGAGCCCTGCACCCAGCAGCTTTCTACTCCACAAACCTTGCTTTTCAAACTCTTCAAACAGGGTCAGGCTGGTGATGCTGGGTCCTGTAAAGATGATGTAGTTCTTGCCTGCTGCGTTGTGGCAGAGGCTTTTGGCCACCAGGCTATGGAGTTGGGGCTTATTCTTCAGAGCATCCAGTCCATCTGGACCCCCACCTTCCTTCAGGTGGACGTAAATCTTTAACAGAAACACATAAGAATGAGTGCATTCATAGCAGCGGGGACTAAGAGAATCGGAGGATCCAGGAAGCACAGTTCCCTTCATTCTATGGATTCTCATGGCCCACTGGGTTCCTGACCCTTACCAGCCCCATCATTTCCTCTGCCCCCAGAGAAGATCCTTGTCATCACCAAGCTCAGCTCACTAGCAGAAACTAGTGATTAAGCCCAAGGCTCTTTAGTTCATAAAGGTTAAAATAGACAAGGACAATGAGAAATAGCTACTATGTAATAAATCTTGATCAACATAGACACAGTCACCATTTCTAAAACACCATTCCTAGGCTTGTTTACTATTTAGTTTGTTAGCTGGGTTTTCCAGCAAAAATTTCTTCACCCATTTTTTTCTCATGCTGTCTCTTATCATGTAGAAGCTACCTGGGCAAAGCTCATGCCAGAGACTGGTTTTTGCCTTTCTTCGTCAGCTGTGCCTTCAGCACCACTCACCTTTGCCAGAGCCTGGCATGGGCTCCGATCCAAGGCACATATGCCCAGGAATCCATCTTTCAAAATGATGGGGGCATGGGACAGATGCTAATATTCTGTGAGCTCTTTGCACACTTGCATGTTAGTGAAGCCATAGGTTCCAAGTTCTTGGGGAACAAGACCAGGGTTTAATGTAATATAATCAGTTCAGTGTCTGTTTTACTTCTGTTGGCTTTCATAAGTGATTCGTTATCTTCCTTGAGACCCTCTCTGGTAAAGAGGGCAGGGCAAACTAACCCCATTTAAAAGGTGATGGGAAAGACAGTTCTGAGCCACTTGTTAAAGTGACATATGTCAATCCCATTCTGTGACATAACTACATCTAACCTGGACAGGATCACCAGTGAGCGGTGTCTCTGCTAATGGGCAAATGTCCAGATGGGCACAGTTGTCTTTCACTAAAAAAGCAAACTTCTAGTCAATTAATTCTATTCTCACCCTCATTTTTAAAGCTAATCCTTCAAATTATAGGTCTGGAACAAAATATTTTATTCATCTGGTATACTAAAAAGATTAAGGATGAAATGAAAGCATCTAAAAGAATAAAGTTCCTAGGAATAAACTTAACCAGGAAGATGAAAAACTTGTGCATGGAAAAATTACAAAGCATTACTAAAAGAAGTTAAAGAACTAAATAAATGAAGATATTCTATATTCCATGAGTCCAAAGGCTTAATATTTTTAAGATGTCACTACTATGCAAAGCTATCGATTGTCATCAAAATTTCAACATTCTTCTTTGTAGAAATGGAAAAATAAATCCTCAAGTGTATATGGAATGACAAAGGTGGCCAAAATAGTCAAAACAATCTTGAAAAAGAATAAAATATCTGCAATTATACTTCTTGATTTAAACCATGTTATAAATTTGCAGTGTATTGACACAGTAGCTGAAACAATGAGCTCAAGCTTAGGAACAATTGTGAGGATGGTGCAAGACCGGGCCGTGTTGCATTCTGTTGTGTATTGGGTCGCTATGGGTAGGAACCTCCTCGATGGCACCTAGCAACAATAACAATGATAGAGTTACAGTAATCAGAACAGCCTGATCCAGGTCTAATGATAGACACATAAACTCAAGCCAAACTCACTGCCATCAAGTCAGACTCAACTCAACAGCCATGGATTGGATTGGAGTCGTCTCTCCTGTTCAGCAGGTGGTAACAGACCCATTTGCCTTACTCTTCAGTGCCAAGTGCAAAGCTAGTTAAGACAATAAATGTCTGGTCTGAATGAAAAATATGTGCTTTATTTTTAGCTTATAGTTTTATTTGTATATATCTCATTCCCATCTATTTTAGAATATTCCTTGAAAACAGGGACCTGTCTTAAACTTCAATTCTTTAAAAAAAAGTGTAAGCTCCCAAGCTCCAGGAAGTCAATGATCAATAGGTCTTTATCCTCCAAAGGTTCAAAATAATCCATTAAATCAAGGTCTCAAGTAGAAAGAACATATTTTGGGAATGATGATGGTAACATATGTACAAATCTGCTTGATACAATTGATGTATGGATTGTTATAGAGCTGCAAGAAGCCCCCAAAAATGATGTATTTTAAAAAGTCACCCATTAATTTAAAGCAACTGTTCACTTTGCAGCAAAACCAGCTTCTTGGACATAAACTGTTATGAATTAATTTGTGTTCTGGAAAAATATGAGCTGTAAATCTTGCAGTTATTTTCTCTTTTGTGAATAGGGTGCCTTTGTTACATTAATGATGTAGTATGAGTATAGGATACATCTTGATTCAAATTTGTTGGGGATATAAAAACATTACATGCAAACTAGTAAGCAGGGACATGTGGGACAATATATCCCAAGCCACATGAAGGTCGCCCTACAACCCCTACAACCCTTACTTGTCGAGGGACCCTACAGGATAGAACAGAACTACTCCACAAGAGCTTCTGAGGCTGCAAACGCTATTGAAGGAGATTGCCTTCTCTTTCAATCATGGAGCAGATAATGGGTTCAAAACACCAACCATTGGGTTAGCAGCCCAACGCTTAACCCACTGCACCACCAGAGATTCTCTGAAGATCATCCAGGAGCAGAAAACACAAGGACTTTTCTTCAGAGCTGATAAAAAAATAAAGCCTACCCCTAGAGCAGTGATTCTCAACCTTCCTATGCCACGACGCTTTAATACGGTTCCTCATGTTGTGGTGACCCCCGCCCCCAAACCATAAAATTATTTTCATTGCTACTTCCTAACTGTAAGTTTGCTACTGTTATGAATCGGGTGGCCCCTGTGAAAGGGTCATTCGACCCCCCAAGAGGTTGTGCCCCACAGGTTGCTAATGGCGGCCCTAGAGCCTCCTAGACTATAAGAAAGAAAATCTGCTCCCGAAAGCCCCTACTTTTGGTACGTTTGTTACAGCAGCCCTGGAGAGAAAGTACTACTGATAATGCGTGTGCGGCTCTAATAGCATTATATAACTATCCTCCATTTTGTGATCAGATGTCATTCCTGATGTGTTGAAACTACTCACCTTCTGATGTTAATGAGGGGGGATCAGAAGTGGCTGTGTTAATGAGGTAGGATACATTCTATAGCATCGGGCTGTATCTTGAGTCCATCTCTTTTCAGATACAGACGAGATTACATCAGAGAGCAGAGAGCAGGACCCACTACCACCAAGGACGAAGACCCAGGAAGACAGCACATCTGGGCCCAGGGTCGTTGCACTAGGTGACTGAAACAGGACTAGATTGCCTGGAGAAAACTGCTGGTAGAATGAGGGGCAGCAAAGCTAATTGGGGTGAGAGCTCGGAAGAAAGCGGCGACCTTTGGAGAAAGTATCATCTTAGAGAATGTATACGGTGACAGCAATAATGTGCTTCTGACGAGCTTTTAAACCCAAATGAAGAACATGGGATTGGATAACGGAGGAAGGGAGACGCAATTTAGGCAGTGGCAAAGAACTTGTCTGAGTTATGTTCAAATGTTTGCTGGAAGATAGAACTTGTAAGTGATGAACGTTGATTATTAAGCAAAATCTTGAAGGATTATGATCTATGGGAAGGATCGTGTTCTGTAGTCTTGAGCACTATCGGTTAGCATCCCCCACTCATTTTTAAGTGTTTGGTATGGGGTGAAACTGAACATCCGTTTCGGATCCAAGAACTTTTAAGGGACGCAGTTCTGAATGACATATCCACAAACGTTGAGTGTGGGACAAGAACTACCAACTGGACCCACTGCTGCATCTGAGAGGTTTGGGATGAAGTTTCAGGACAGAGTTTGAATAAAGACCCGGAAGAAACAGTTCAAAGAATGGGAAGGTATTTACAGGAGGGTCTAAGAAACACTTATAAGCTCAAAGTAGTGTCTGTTTCTAGCTTCATCCCTTTTTTCTCCTTAGCAAATCTTAACTTTTTAAAATTCTCAGAAACAAAGGATATTCATCCCTTAAATTTCAAAACTATAAAGTTAATCTCTCCCTTCCACTTGGATCCTACCATATACTCATACCTTCCCATATATATTAAAAATATGTATTGTGAATTAGGTAATGTTTACATTTCAGATAATAGTTTTTCTGTATTCAATAATTTAAACAACTTATTAAATCTCTCAATAGCTTGCCCTGTCCCTCCATTTTTTACTTCTTGTAGATATTATCTTCCCCTTCCCTTAGCTAACATTTATCTATCTTCTAGCCTATTATTTCCCCTTCCCTCTTTAACCCCTGGTAACCTTCAAAGTCTGTTTCTTTGTATGAAATATTTGTATCTTAATATTTTCTTTTATTAATGATAGTCTCATACAATATTTGTCTTTTGTGACTAACTTTGCATAATGTCCTCAAAATCCATGTCATAGATGTTTCAGAGTCTCATCATTATTTTTTAACGATGCATAACATTCCATGTGTGTATGTAACAGTCTATCCATTCTTCCATTGTTGAGCATTTTAAGTTGTTTCTACCTCCTTGCTATTATGAATAATGCTGTGGTGAACATGGGTGTGCATCTGTTCATCCTTGGCTCTTCCTGCTTCAGGGAAAGCGATTGCTGGATCATATGGCATTTCTATTCCCAGTTGCTTGAGGAAGTGATGTACCACTTTTCACAGTGGTTGCATGGTTTTATAGAACAATGTATGAACGTTCTCATCTCTCCTGTGTCCTCTCCAGCATTTGTTATTCTGTTTGTTTTTTAACTTGGCTAGCAATGCCAGTGTGAGGTGGTTTCTCGTTGTTGTTTTGATTTGCATCTCTTGGATAACTAGCGTTTAAGAGCATTTCTTATGTATTTATTTTTAATTAATCATTTTATTGGGGGGCTCTTACAAATCTTATGACAACCCATCATTCAATTGTATTAAGCACACTTGTACATAAGCTGCTTCAACATTTCCAAAACATTCTTTCTTCTTGAGCCCTTGGTATCAGCTTCTCTTTCCCCTCCCTCCCTCGCCTTCCCACGCTCGTGAATCCTTGATCAATTATATATTACTGTTATTTTGT